AAAAGAAAAAAAAAAAAAAAGGGATTCGAGGCAAATTCGAGGCCTCAGGCATTTTCCTTCATTTAAATTGATCATTCAATGGGATAAAACACCAACTTTTTAGTTACAAAAAATAAAATAAGTTATTTTAGTCATAACAAATAAAATATCACATACAACAATAATCATTACACTCTTCTCTCACAAAAAAAGTCAAAAAGGCCAAAAAATCAAAAAGTCTTTCTCAAACCAAGATTTTTAGCCCAGGTTAGGGTTGGTTTGGGAAGTGGGTTGGCTTTTTGACTTTTTGACTTTTTTGGCTATTTTAGCCTGGGCCAAAAAGCTTGGTTTGGGAAGAGGTTTTTGGTTTTTTTGACTTTTTTTTGTGAGAGAAGAGTATAATGATTATGGGTTGGATGTGATATTTTGTTTGTTGTAGCTAAAATAGCTTATTTTGTCCTTTATGCCTAAAATAGTCAAAAAAGCTCACAAAATCTCTTCCCAAACGGTGCCTTAAAATAGTCAAAAAAGTCAAAAAACTAAAAATCCAATCCACTTCCCAAACGAAGACTGGGCATGTGAGCAAATGACCTTTAGAGGCAAAGGTCCTTCTTGAGAGTAATCTAAGGGGTTTGAATTCATTTAAATTGATCATTCAATTTGATAAAACAATTTAAGTTTGGTAGGCTTATTTTGAGGTTAATTGTAACAACCCTCGTCACTATTTATCGATTAACCACTGATTACCGTTAAACTGAAACTGATTATGACTGATAAGTGAACTGAATAAACTACTGAACTGACTGACTGAAATTGAAACTGAATTGACTGAGTATGCCTGTTTTTATTGTAATTCTATCTGTTTGGTTATTTGATTATCTATTCGTGTCTTTGTGTTTAAACTGCTAATTGAAGGCCTTATCGGCGGCCGAACTGGAAACCGATTAGTGTTTTATGATCATCATGATTTATGTGGTTTTACGGTGTAATTATCTGAAAACTGATTAAGTATGATTAAATTAGATTAAAATGAGTTAAATTGCACAACTTAGATTTAATTACAACCTTGCCCTATTAGTAGCCACTACCTAACACATATGGAGCCTTGTACAACACTTGACCAACACTTTCCTCAGCCATTCTCCTTGCTATTGCCGACCATAGAGAGAGAGAGAGACTAGAAGAGTTGATTTCATCTCACTTTTGCTTGAGTTTTGCTTGATAATTGAAGTAATTGAAGAGTTCCTTGCAAAATTGAGCTTGTACATCTTAGACTACAAGACCTAAGGTAGATTCATTGCCTCTTGCGTATGTTTTGAATTGATTCTTGCATGGTTTTGAGCAAGTTGAAGTCTAGAGCCAAGTTATGGCTCTTAATTGTTGAATTATGGCTTCATTTCATGCATACATGTTTGAATTGTTGAATTTTGAGTTGATTCCATGGAGAATTGTCTCATACATGCTCATGGTTATGTTAAGTCCATGTTTTTATCTTATTTTTGGAACAATTGGCTCTTTAGAGCATCAAATTGAAGCTTTGAAATGGTTTTAATTCATGCATGTTTGCACGTTCTTCATATTCATGGAGATTGGTTTGAATTGAATTTATTTGAAACACCCTTGGGCTTGGATTTTACAAATTGAATTTTGAATCATGTTAAAGTATGAGTTTTGATGTGTTTTCTGGAAAATTGGCCCAAGAGGATCGGAATTTATGGTTTAAAACTTGGTTTTGAGCTTGAGGTTCAAATCTGGAATTTCCAGAATTTCGACTCATGCTCGAGCGGGGTGACTGGCGCTCGAGCGTGGAAATCGTGCTCCCAGCATTTTGTTCTGTTTTGAAGTCCGCTTGAGCAAAATAATTGACGCTCGAGCGGGTGTCGAGCGCCCAATCGAGCGTGATTTTCGCCTATCCAGCACTTTTGACTGTTTTGCAGAACGCTCGAACGGGTAATGATACGCTCGAGCGGAAACTTTTGTCTGCATGTCCGCTCGAGCGGAGTAACCTACGCTCGAGCGTGACCCCTGTTTTCTGAAAAGTCTGAAAATACTTTTAAAGTGCATCTTTGCATCCTCATCTCATTCTAGGCATTCTTAGGCCTAGTTTAAAACATCTTAATGAGGATATAGATGTAGAACCACACCGAGGCTAATTAGGGATTAAGTTGTTATCTTTTCCAACTGTGTAGCTTAGTGTGTGTTCAATCTGTAACTGTGTAGGGTTGGCGACTGGGGATGCGCTCTAGCTTTACTGTAGCCCAAAACTCTGTGAGTAACAACTGTGTAAAGATATGTTAAAAAAGGAATACTATAAACACTCACTTGATCGCATCTTTGATTTGCTGGTAAGAAGCTCCTTTCTCAAGCCTCACAGTGAGATCCACCACTGAAACATCCACTGTCGGAACTCGGAAAGCCATTCCAGTCAACTTGCCATTCAGTGCTGGCAGAACTTTTCCGACTGCATGTTAGAGTAGAAGAAAGCAAACACACATGCAAATTAATCAAAAAGCTCAACGCCATAAGAATATGAAATAAATACCCATTGGGAGTGAACAAAACAGAACAAAATACAGTACCACATTGACACTCCGCGTCTCAAATGATATTGATATCAAATCAAATACAGGCAACAATTTTCACACATAAGGACAGTGTCATTTACATAATTTGCTGACTACCTTTGCAGCACCAGTGCTGCTGGGAATGATATTGAAGGAAGCAGCTCTTCCACCCCTCCAATCCTTGCTTGATGGCCCATCAACAGTCTTCTGAGTGGCTGGGTGACGATTTACAAGAGAGAAAATTGAAAAAGATACCACAAATCATATCCCGAAGCAACAACCTAACCATGTAAGCACTCCCCTAGAGACACTGACACATAACAATCCTAAAGTATCAAATAATTTTCCGTTTTTATGATCGTGCAAACAAATGTTGATTTCTATTTGATAAAATGTTAATCTCTATTTGGTGCAACAAAGACTGCTTGTAATTTTTATTTATTTATTTAAAACTTTGTGTTCTAGTGCTTTGTGCAATTAAGTAAAAATAACTTAAAAAGCTAATTATTAAAAAAAAATGAGAGAATGATATTTCTAACTTTGCTCTTTACTTTTTAATTATCAACGTCCACCTTGCAAGAAGGTATAAGCTATACCAAATAGACCCTTTGCACCATCCAGCTTCACGGACATCAATCAAACAGAAGAAGAAAATAAAGAGTAAGGTGGGTGTGAAAATGAATTTGTTAACCAATTCACACAATGTAAAACCACATTTTGACCACAACTGAATTAAGTCTCCCTCTTCTTCCCTGCTTTTTTTACTAGCAAAAGTTAACTAATAAATCGAACAAAATCCAACTCAATCCTTTCTATGCTTAAAACCACGCCACCGAAGACATGATGGTATGGATTACACATTAGAACCATACAAAAATAGTTTAGATGTGCAGAGAATACATCAATAAGCTTGTAACCTTCTTAACATTCCATATGAAGGCTTAACCTTTGGTGGTCCTCTAGCCGAGCATACAGAAAGGCACAAAAGCTCACAAAAAATTGTTATCATTGAATATGAAAAATTCAATATCATTCCAAACCCAACCCATATCTTAAAACTATAGTAAATGAAGCTTTTATAGGAAATAACAATTAATTATAATAAACACTCCTCAAATATATTATACCAACTTTTCATATATTACAGAATTTTCGATTATTTTTCCTATGAACACAAGGGAAACAAAGATAACACAAAGACTCCATAAGTAAACATCCAAAACAAGACTACACAAGACTCTTGCGCAGTTTATTCCAAACCAAAACCTCAGGGGACCTAAAACACTAACCAGTACGACACAAGTAAAACAAAGTCACCCTCTATCATCTCATGAGATTAGCATCAAGCTTGAACAGAAGCCATATGCACAATCAAGACAACCACACGTGAACTGCAAAAGCATAGAAGATTGTGTCAAGGGACGACGCAACGTTGCGTGCAAGCGACGCGAGTAAAATGGAGTACTGAAATTACCTGTAACCCCATTCATTGTCATACCAAGCAATAAGTTTCACGAAATGTTCATTCAAAGCAATCCCAGCCTTGGCATCAAAGATGCATGACCAACATAAAACACACAAATTCAATAACAATACTGAGTGTTGCCCACAAACCTAATCAGCCAGAACATTAGGAAGGAAAGAACAGTAGGACAATCTACCTGCTGTCACCCACAAAGTCTGTTGAGACAACGTCATCTTTAGTGTACCCCATAATCCCCTTGAGTTTGCCCCCTGACTCCTCCCTGAAATTAACCAAGAAACGGAATCAAAGATCAGAAAAAAACAGAAGTAAAATCCAACCACTGAACGAGAACTGGCAGTTAAAGAAACTTCATACTAAAGTGTTCTTGTTCTGACAAATAAATACAATCAAACAAATCTACTAGGCATCTCAGTTTGATTGTCTAATACATAAAACAATGCAGCTAGTTTGAAGGAATACTATAAACACTCACTTGATCGCATCTTTGATTTGCTGGTAAGAAGCTCCTTTCTCAAGCCTCACTGTGAGATCCACAATTGAAACATCCACTGTCGGAACTCGGAAAGCCATTCCAGTCAACTTGCCATTCGGTGCTGGCAGAACTTTTCCGACTGCATGTTAGAGTAGAAGAAAGCAAACACACATGCAAATTAATCAAAAAGCTCAACACCATAAGAATATGAAGTAAATACCCATGGGGAGTGAACAAAACAGAACAAAATACAGTACCACATTGACACTCCGCATCTCAAATGATATTGATATCAAATCAAATACAGGCAACAATTTTCACACATAAGGACAACGTCATTTACATAATTTGCTGACTACCTTTGCAGCACCAGTGCTGCTTGGAATGATATTGAAGGAAGCAGCTCTTTCACCCCTCCAATCCTTGCTTGATGGCCCATCAACAGTCTTCTGAGTGGCTGGGTGACGATTTACAAGAGAGAAAATTGAAAAAGATATCACAATTCATATCCCGAAGCAACAACCTAACCATGTAAGCACTCACCAGTGATGGAGTGAACAGTAGTCATAAGACCCTCAACAATGCCAAACCTATCATGAATAACCTGGCAAAATTGTTGAAATAGAAAATTTTAAGCAAAGCAATGTACCAATTTTAACTAAGCCAACAATTCTAGCCGATTCTAAATTGGTGTCAGTGTAACCTTGGCGAGGGGAGCAAGACAGTTTGTAGTGCAGCTAGCATTGGAGACGATGTCAAGATCGAGCTTGTATTCCTTCTCATTAACACCCACAACAAACATAGGGGCATCCTTACTTGGGGCAGAAATGGTCACCTTCTTTGCACCACCCTAATTACACCAAACAGTTTAGCCCATTGACCAGAAACAATATAACCAATAGCAGGAGTATTTTTACTAAACTCATGCCATTTCCAAAACTCTGAAGTAGTTTTGAACTTTCTTTTCAAATCTATCTTTCTTTATTGTTTTGAGAACTCGTGTTTTGATAACATGAAAACACGACTTCAAACTCAGAGTCATGTTTTCGAATTGTGATCTACTGATTTAATCAACTTATTGTAAAAAATTTTGAAATCGTGTTTTCAAAACAAGATTTCAAACCAGAACTCAAAACACGACTTTTCAAAACGATTTGAATTTGGGAAGTAAGTTCAAAATGTCTTGCATTTGGAACATACACTACAACAAAAAAAGGTTTCTACGGCGCGCAATGCACGCCATAAAAACCCTTCTACGACGTGCAACGCGCGTCATATTATGACCAGTCATGGAAACATCTTTCTTTCTTTGGATCATCCCTGCACCAACATTTTCTCTGGAAAAACATAACAACCCTTGTTCTCTTTTTGAGATGCAACCACTTAGTTTTGGAATTCCGTCAGAAGTTGGCCTAGTTTTAGAAATACAATGGAAAAAGGGCTTATATTGGGAAAAGCCTCCCCTCCCCCCCCAAAAAAAAACAAAAAAAAGGCTTCACAAATCTAAAACAAGAAAATTTTCATACAGAAATTTGACACTGTTAGCCCATCAAATTAACTATTAATTATATAAATATCATTTTTATATTATTTTTATCTTTTTTATGAATAGTCTCCATCCCCTCTCTAACAAATCATTGACCTGATCAATTTAGAAAACAAAAATGTTTGAGAGCTCTAAAATAAGAACTCTAAAGGAACTCTAGGGTATTGATGTAATATTTTGGCTTTTTTTTTTTTTTTTGTTTCTTCTTCTTCTTCTTTGCCATATCATTAGAGCTCAATTTAAGTTTCAAAATTAAAAATATGTATCATTTCTCTTAATAATAATCTACCATGATGCAGATAAAAAGGTCTAAACAAAGCTATGTTTAGACCCTTTTATCCAACATGAAGACAAAGCGATGTTTAATTTGATGTCAATTTCATTATTTGTTATAAGTTCTAATAAATTTACTGCGATAAGGTGTGTTTGAGAATTGATTATTTTAATTAATTTTTTATTTTTTTATAAAAAGATGTGAAAAAGTAGAGAGTAACAATTAATAATAATTTTTTGATTAAAAACCTCACTTACCAAAAATATATTCACGAAATATAAACGAAGAAATTAATATAAAATGATGTAGTATGTCTTGGTTTTATTATTTGAGAAAAAAAAAGATTCATTAAAGTTACTTATGTTTTAAGAAGCATTACAAAAAATTAAGGCTTTAAAAATTAAAATTTAAGAACAAAATTATTTTTTAGAAACTAAATATTTTTATTGCACAAAGTGTCGTTATTATATTTTTAGCAACGAAAATTGAATATTAGTGATGAATTATTATCTTTTTGGGAGTAAATTTTTTGTCTAAAAAATAAACCATTTTGAGACCAAATTATTTTGTCCCTAAAAGTGTAATTATTAGCGACATTTTAAAAATTTTGTCCCTAAAAGCTTTATTTTTGACTTTTCAAGACAACCTTTTAGCGACCATCTTCACGACAATAGAAATTAGTCCCTAAATGTCTTTTGCAACAAAATTTTTAATTTTAGAGACCAAAAAATTTAGTCTCTAAAACTCTTATATGTGTAGTGAAGGAAAATTATATACAAGTTTATTTTTTAGACCTATTTTATAAACTCAATGATGTGTAAGTGATATGATTGGTTAATGATCACTAGACTTGAAAATTTAGTCTAATTTTTAGTCTTGAATAGTAATAATCTTTTAAGAATTTTACTTATGAAAATTAATGCTTATTTTCTGGTTTTGCCATTTTATGTTATTTGAAAATTAGAGCTCACAACTATGGTAAGTGTTTTTAAAATTAACACAAGAAAATTGTAAAATAGATATTTGTATTAATGATATTTTTAAAATTATGAGTCATAATATGATAAGTGTCTTGTATAAGGTTAGGGATTCTAAATATTTTATTAATATTTTTATCAAATGTCTTACATATATATAAAACACACATATAAATCTTACACTCAAAGATATTTAATAAAAATACTAATAAAATATCTGAGATCCTTAAAATTTTTCAAGTGTAATTAATTTAAAATTAACAAGTACTAACAATCAAACCCACAATCTTTTATATATATATGTATATTGATTTCCGCTATATATATATTGATTTCCACTATCTTATATCTAAGAGTGGAAAAAAACGCAGCCAATATAATAACAAATAAAAAAAATGTAAAAACAAAAGTGACAAGAAATGAGTCACCAATAACATTATTCAAAATGTTTTGCATTTTTATTAGTTTGAATAATATTTTTCTTTCTAATCGAAAAATCATTGAACACTTCTCAAATACGATGTGATATTATTTATAAAATATTTTAAATTAAGGAAAAATCATAATTGTCACGATCCAACTTCGGATGCTTAAGACTGAAATCACAACTTATTAATTCTAATTAAACAAATTAAGTGGTGTAAGCGGAAGCGAAATAAAAGTAAGAAAATAATTAAATAGATAATTAACTTCATTAACTATCTTACTATTTAAATAAATAAAAAAATTCATTCATCGGCTTTTATTATGTTATTGTTCGGTGACAGACAATAAAATGAAGAAAAAGTAAGAAGAAAAAAAAAATGTCAGCAACAAGTTCTGTGTTGGTCCACTACACGAGGTCATAATCCTTCCTTATATTTCATCACCTGAAAGTGGTAATAGCTATAAGCACATAGCAGATTGAGAGATATTACATTAAGAACACAGGGGTACAAAATAATCATAAATAGTTATTTAAAATAAAGCATTAAACATAATTTAATTTGAAGAAACAAATTATTTAAGTCGCAGAAACTGAAATTTAGAAATTATGTAGGTAAATAACCATAACTAAGTACAAAATAGAATAGAATAGATGTCACTGAAGTGACAATCAGGACGGAAGTCGATGGATCCATGACAATCAGAAGGCCACAAAGTGACCAATAAGAGGCTAATGGTTATTTAATTTCCCCAAAGCATAGGACTTCCATGGTGGTACTCACCAAAAATAAATATTTATATAATCATTGTCAAATAATTTCTAAAATTTAAACAATCATATCTTTGGATTTTAATTTAAACAAATAGAATTCAGAAAAATAATTAACATACTTGAAATCTAAATATAAATTATAAAATATAACTTGTATAAAATAAATTATAATAATTCAAAATATACGTAAAATATATTATAATAACTCAAAATATAACATAACCCACCTTAATAATAATTTCTCAATTGTTTTTGCATTTCGTTCCTTACTTTCTCAAAATATAATCATACTTTGGGCCATAAAGTCCATGTCATAGCTCGGCCCAATTTTCACCAAAAATTACCCTCTCAGTTTATATTTTAATGGGTAGATTACGATCACTTTCCTTGAAATTCTGACAATTATATTGGCTTCCTTTTTTTTTTTTTTTTGAAATTACACCGACTTTTTTGCGACTAACAGCGTTAATGAGAGGGTTAGTTTAGTAATTTTAGTGTGAGAGATATTTTGGTTGATAACCATTAAATATGCAATTATTATTTTGATTATACCTTATATGATATTTGGTTATAACTCATTTTTTTTTGCAATGACTGAAAAAATTTAGTTATAACATTTGTGGTAATCAACACTACAAATTTTATAACTTATGTACAGTACATATAAAATGGTGTATATTCTAGAATAAAATATTATTATGGCAAAAAATTTAGTACATACAATCATAATATTTAATATTTTATTTTATTCTACTTATATATATAGATATTTTACATAATATTTAAATATTTAGACTGTCACAATAATGAATAATATTACAATAACCACATTTATTTATTTATTACGTTTGGTTTGTTTATCATGGTACGTGAAGCTTGGCTTTCATACTCCTTTCGGATACGACTAGTTCTACAGTTTGGACTCCCGTAGTTCTGAATCTGATTTCACAAAGTGCAATGTAAAACAGTGAAAACACAAAAAGAGTCCAAATCCGACAATTCTTTTGGAAAATCGATATTTGAATCAAATGTCAAAAATGAATTGCTTTGCCAGATTTTAGAGTCGCCACCTAAATATTTTTAAAAAATTTAGGAAACTCGAGACTCGTGCCAAAGGCCACTTATCCATTATCACCAAAGTGTCTTGGCTCGGAAACTTAAGTACGAGAGGGGAAAGTCATGAATTGAGCACTCCACTCGCCCAATCAAAGATCGACCTCTACTAATCATGATGTGATTCTTGTCTACATTATACGCTCTTATTCTGATTATTAGACTAACTTGACTATGTGTTGCATACAAATATAGACTAATTTGCAAAAGTTGGAACACTTTGATTTCATATTTGTTTGAAAATTATTTTTGATACTCGTCACTTGGAAAATGTGAGTTTGTATGTACACTAATCAATGCATCCCAATTTTCGCAATTAACCTTCATCCACCGACATTCAAACAGATATATCATTTAAACAATTAGCCTCATGGAAAACATGTTCGACAGGGCAACACAAACATTCGATACAAGATGCTAAAAAAATAAATTCTCACCTAGTACTCTAAGGCAAGCCAAATAAAGCAAAATGATTAGAAAACATGCATGCTCCTAATTAATGCAATATGACTAAATGCAACGCACACGTTATGTAATTTTTAATAGGCTCGGCCATGAACATAGCGTATGATTCCATTCAAGACATGCGATGAATCACGTATTCAAGCAATGAATTTAAACATTTGGCTAGTATGATGAGCCGAACCTTGGATGTATGCAAGACAATAGATGCAAAGCATAAAAATGCTAATTTGAAAAATAGTGCTCTACACTACCATTGTAAGCGAATAAGTAAAAGAGA